TAGCATCTCTCTTGTATTGCACGTCCAACGACACACAATATTTTTATATTTTATAACCCGACAAGGGTATAAAGCAAAGATATAATTCCAATACGGCAAAAACAAATAAGGAAAACAAGAACGATCAAAAAATATATTTTTTTAACTTTTCTTGACTTTTTTTCTCCATTTTAAATGATATTACCTGGACAATATGCCCGGTGAGCCCATTCAAAGTGTTAAGCAAGTTGTTAAGATCAGGACTGGTCGCTGGTCAATTCATAGTTTCAATTCCAACCTCATAAAGATAATTTTGCACAATTTGAGCAATAAATTCCCACCAATGTAAGGGCCAAACGGTATCACACGTTCTTGAAGGATCTCCCTTATGTTCCCATCCGCTGTTAAACTGCCGTTATTGATAAACACCAAGTCAAAACATAACTCACTTTCCACCAAATAATCTCGTATTTTGGAAATTACATTGGGCATACCTTTCATTTGATCTTCGATAAACTCTGAGTTGTCGAGAGACGAAATCTGGTTTTATCTGAGCAAAGAACTCTTTCGCCGTGTTTATCGACCAATCGATATGTGATTCCTAACAAAATTTAACCTTGCTTTTAAATGCTCGCGCTGGGTTTCTTGCAAGGTAGGCGTGGACACATAGAACCATCCTCCTGTCATAAGCCGCTTTAAATAAACAGAGAAGTAAAAAACGGCCTTGCACTATTTTATTTTCTCCAAGGATGTATTAAATTATGATGTTCTTGGGTAGACGATTTATTTGATACATAAAAGTTACTTTATTTGCTACTACTTAAGATTAAAACTATCAGTTTTTGTTGTAGATGTTTCCAAATATACGAAGAGATAATAAAAGATATTGGTGAGATGTCAAGAATACTTAGACTTTGATTTGGTTTGCAACTACGTGTGGCACTTTATTGATGCTAACAGAGTCAAGGCATTATTACGCTAGAACTAATTCAATTGTTGGCGCAATTTTCAGAATATTTACTCCGGATAAAAGCTAAACGGTTTTTTGAATCGCGCCAAGACAGCTCGATCTTATGGAGTATTTTTACAGGAACTCAGCTGACGCATGAGACATGGCTTTATAGACATTTTCGAAGCTAATGCTGCAAAAACCAGTTAACTCAAAAAAAAATTTCGTCTTTTAACTGATCAAAGATGTCGAGAGATTTTTGGACAACTGCTAAATTTGAAGTTATATTTCTAAAGAATGTAAGGAAAGACAACAATGGCAAGTGTGGGATTGCTTTCGTGCTCATTGCTATTGGAAGGTTGTGGTGAAGTGAATTTTGTGTAAATTATAAGAGAAAAGAGCAGATGTAAGGCGTTTTAATTCCTCGGGTTGATTTTTCTTTGTCGTTAAATCGAACTTGTTGACGTTCCGCGAATCACCCTGTTGGATTCTTCAGAGCTAAGTGTTGACCTTAGTTTTTCAAAATTTTCAAAGTGATTCTGAGTTGAAGATAAATGATTTTCAGCAAATAGCTACTTCAAGGTGTGGAGATATCGATTTGATTGGAGCTCTGAACAAGCCAACAGGATGACGATGATTTCTAAACGGGACTCACGTTGAGATCGTAAACAAGAACATTGATAACCGATGATTTTTGGATTAGAGTATCGGTCTGTGTGAGTAGGTTTTCTGCAAATAGAATGTTACGTCTGATTTTCGATTGATAGGAATATCTAAGAATAGGTAATTGTTATTAGTTAATGAAGAACTCATAGCTGTTGTCGTCGTTTGTTCACACAAGAAAAATATGTTCTCCACAAGCGTTATTCAATTAGGACGAGGAGGTTTGATTGCAGATTCTCGGATTTTAATATGTCTGAAGTAATGCGAAGCTAACCAAAATGTCCAATTAAGTACGAAACCGACAGATTTCCCTGTAAAGAGTTTTAAGAAGAAAGCTAGATTTTTTTGCTGGTCTAGGAATTTTAGGATCTTGATTCAGATAGAGAAGAAGCCTGATAACAGATTAGAAGTTGTCAGGAAGTCAAGTGGTTGAATATGCGGTACAGGCGTACACTACACTTGGTATTTTTCCATGATATTATTTTTAATAACAGTCCAGCTTACTTGACGAATAAATATAAAGTATAGGACATATGGTCACAGCTTTAACCTTAGATTTAAGGGTCGACCACTGCACGGAACGTTTCTCTTCCAAGGAAGCTTTTCCTATAATATTTATAAACTTTACAATAGCATTCCTCTTTCTTTAATAGTCCTTTTTTTAAAGGCAATTAAGACAAGAATTATAGGTTACAGGAATTAATATTTAGAAGTGATTGCTATGTATCATTTTATGGAGGTCGAAGTTTGAACAATTTTTAATTGCTTTCAGATCCTCTTGGGCAATTTATCTATTTAAAACATGCTATTGTTTTGTATATGGAATACAGAAGAATAAATGTATTATTATTATTGCTATTATTATTATTCGTATACGAGGACTACATGACGATTCAATTTTGTAATTTGCCCGACCGGAATTTTCATTATGTTAATTTTTTGAAATCCGATTGGCGTGTTCGCGCGTGGTTCGGCGTCGCACCGTTATACGAAGAGGAAACGGACTAGTCGCGTTCCGTCCTTCCGCTACCGTCGTTCCGGCCCGCTCGGACACGTGCCAAAATTTACCGTACGCCCGGCCGGAATCAATCAGACGCGGGTCGAATTCAAAAAATTTATTTACACCGACGCTTCCTCTACAACAGCAAGAAAAAAGTCTGCGGTCCGCACGAAAAAAAAAAACACGAAACACGACGAAACAGCAAAACGCGCGCGGTTACTTCTTCCGGGACGCCTCGGCGTCCTTCTGGGAGACCACGGACAACGGTATGGTTATGAACTGGGGCTGGTTGGGGTCGACGTCGCTTCGGGCGAGGCTGAAAATGACGCCGCCGTTCGAGGGCGTCGCGTACATCATACCCTGTTGGGTCTGGTAAAGAAGCGGGCTGAGCAACGAGGGCGTGGGGGCGGCGGGCGCGGGTGACGCCGCCGGCGACGCTCGCTGGTGGTCGGACGATCTCCGGACGGGCGACGGCGGCGGCGAAATGTTGCTGAACACCTCGTGGTCCGGCGTGACGAACAGCGACTCGCCGTCGTTCATGTCGGCGTCGCTGCCGCTGTCGCTACTCTCCGCGCCCGACATGTTTTCGTTCTGCGAAATAAAAAAAAGAACCAGTCGATATCGCGTTCTCAGTACGATATACGCGGGAAATATCCTTAGTACCGGACACATCCTACTGATAGACGCTGAATCAACCATCTAAAACTGACGATTTCCTGAGTAACATTAAAGCAGTGTCAAAGCCGTTCGCTGTTCACATTAATTGTTCGTTTTTAGCTTTAAGAAAAGCCCTGTTTCTTCGTGCTGTTTACTGCAAAAATTGCAACTTTCATTTTTTTGTTTAAAACTGGGACCCCTATACATATACGACTTAACCATATTTTTTCGGGTTGTCGCGCCGAATCTCGCCGGTCTCCCGGTTAAAAAATTTCCCGATCGGACGCGTCGTCGTCGAGAAAATGTTTTTTGTTCGGCCCCGCAAAAAAAAATTCAAAAATTTTTGAAAAATACTGGGGAACTTTCGATCCCGCCCTGTTTCGATAGGTCCCATCTGGGTACCGAACTGTAAATGCAAGACGAATTTCAACGCGGTATCTCGATATTTCCATTAAAAAAAATAGCGGACAAAATGGCAGCCGATATTTTGCGAGCGGCCGCGCGTCGCCCGCTAATAGAAAAATTTTAAGGTCGTGGTTCCTACCGTTCGTACGCTGTTCGCCTTCAAAAACTTCCCGTGGGGCAAACATGGGGAACAAAGAATAGACAAAAAATTAGAAGCGTTTTTTTTTCGCTGGGATCGATTTCATTTTTTAAAATTCGGCGTGAATATTTCGTGACAGTAATAAGTTAATTTTACGAAACTTCTTACGTATACAAAATTAATTGTCTTATAATACTTGATTTACCCTGAATCCTATAAACAAATCTGGCTGACTGTGGCAAATCAATAACTACTTATAACTTACTGTGTTTTTTTCTATCATCCCGCCGCACTATTGCAAACGGATCAGTTTTTAGAGAACACTCCGTCCCTTTATTTCATTGCATTTGAACCAAAATAAAAGGCGTTCCCTTTGAAATAAAAGAATTGCCATTTGTTTCGTGTAGATCTAGCAACGCTACATTTGCGAAAATATGTCTAAGGTATAAATTATAACCGTCAGCTAAGTTTGAAAAATCCCGTTATTTGGAACTCCAAAAGCAAAGAGTCGCAACCAATTCCCCACACGCTAGTGTCGTCCTGAAAGCAGAAATAACTAATCCCGAATTCAAAACAGTTTCTTGTTTTTCGTCCTGGTAAATTAAACTCACAATAATTTAAGAAAAAAAAAAAGGAAAAAGACGAAAAATGGCAATTATCGTTTTTTTGCCCACTACTGTTACGCACAGCCGAAAAAATTTTCCGATCCAAGATGCCGTTTTAGAGAAAATCATTTTTTTCGGCACCCGATTTTTTTTTTATTTTTTTGCATACCACAGGACTTCCGAGCACGTCCAATTTCAATAGACCCTAACTTTGTACTGAACTGCAAATTCCCGCCGAATTTCAACCCGATATCCCGAAATTTAGGACACTTACTCTATTCCGTAGCGAACGTCACCCGGTATTATTACGGAGGAAAAATCAAAGCCCGTATTTCCAACCGTTGTTCGGCCCCAAAAACTTCCCGAAGGTCTGTATCGGCGAACAGAGAACAGACAAGAAAAAACTATTGTTGGCAAGGAAATTTCGACCCCACCGGGTTTCAATACTTTCCCATTGGCAATGGAATTCTAAAATCCCGCCAGTAGCCCGATTTTTTTTCCCACAACAATATCGTGATTGATGGTAACAGAGGACAGAAAAAAAATTTTTTTCTTTCAACGCTGAAAAGGGCGACGAGAAAAAAAAAGCGTAGGATAGTGAAAACATTTCTTTATTGAAAAATAAGGTTAAGTATGTAAGGCACAAAAGTCATTATTACAAACGAGTATGTAATGCAACAGGGGTTTCGTCTAATAAAATTAAACCTCCGCATTTTCTACAAGCTTCCGTCGAAAATGCAGAGTTGAAAGTATAAAAATAAAATATATTTTGTATTTAATACGAAAAACGTACTTTTTTTCACCTACTTGTTTAAAATGGTAGAGGTTGCACTCTTTGCTGTAAAATAATTTATTAACAAAATTTCTTCAGAATATGCAACAATAAATTTTATTATTTTTTCTTATTATCTTACATAAATTCCTATATAAAAAAATGTCGACGCCCCACATCGTGTTTGAAAGGAAAAGTTACTCGAATACTTAACCACCACGAATGATAATAACCAAACAAAGCTCCTACCTACTAATTGTATAAATCTATATAATATCACATTTATAGCAAGCTATCACGAAAATGCAAATGCAAAGGAGAGTCTACATTCGCCATATAACGTTCCTATAACATGTTACATATTTGGCAGATTTGGTAGTCCACTAGGCTGAGGAGTTATGCAAGAAAGGACACAAAAATGGTATACTGATTCTAAAAAGAGACACTTATTCGATTTTTATCTCCGAAACTATTGACGATTTCGGGGAAGTACACAGATGTTAAATCTAGGAATCCAAAAGATTTGTAAGCATCGAACGAAGTCAAGACCAGCCTAAAAGCAAATTTCTTTATATGCTATAAGGACGTTAGCGAAAATGTGTTTTAGAGTGTTCTGACTAAAATTTTGCCACAATCGGACGTATCACCTGCACAATCTATGTATTTCGTATTTAATGTCGATGGTGTCCACCAGTATTTATTTTCGATAGAAATACTGCCTTGCGAGTATATGAGTGCCGATTCTAAGTAAGTTGACCAGAAAGTTTAGACACACTTAGACTTCTCCAAGAAAAAAGGATATAAAGTTATCACATCATCTAAATCATTTTGCATATTCCAAAATCTTAGTCTCATCGGACGTTCCATGCCCTAGGACCCCTACTGTTTTTCTATCAGCATTTCTTTTACTTCTTTTTGCTGACGATCTGAAACCGTTCTCAAGTAGTGTCTAGCACTTCAGGAAGATCTCGATAGATTATCGGAATGTACTCAAGTGTAAGGTAGGTTGGCGAACCACCAGCAACGTGTCGCTTAAGACATTAATACTCCCCAGGCGATAAGTTTAGATTTATCAGGACCTGTGCACTGTTGGGCTTTAGTTATAGAGAATGGAGGATAAGAAGAATAGAAAGTATGTGCGATGACTAACTCTCGGGAGGATGGTTGGTTTTTCAGATATTAACCACTAATTTATTCAAGTGAATTCATTAAATTTACATTTCAATAGATTTTTAGCTTCCATCTAGCTAGATCTAGACTGACAAATCATACGCACCGTGCGAAAAGTATATATTTATTTTACCCGTGCACTGTTGGATTTTGGTAACGGAAAAGAGAAGAAGAAGAAGAAGAAGAAGAAGAAGAAGGAGACTAGAACAGTGTCTATGTCATCGGCATAGAGCAGAATAAAGACATGCTTAATGAAGTCAATAACGTGTGTCCGAAATATAAAAAAAGTAAGAGGGAAAATTTGTTTACAGGAATGTGAACGTACGCCGAATGTGAACCCCCCTAAAACCCTGCGTCCCAAAGAAAATATCTGGAAGAAAACAATGCGCGGAGTCGATTGCGCGTCTCTCTCGCGACCCGCATCTCACGGCACTAACCGTCAATTAGCGTTTCCCAGCAAATGTCATTTTACCGAGGTCGACGCTCCCGATATTTCATAATCGATATTTGGCGACGCTACTCAACGGTATCGCCACGAGTTTGGGCTGGACCGCGTCCTGAACCATACCGAGGATCATGTCTTCGGATACGGCGGCGAAGCCCAAACCGTTGGGCGTCTGCACGAGCAACGGGACCGATTTTAGGTTAACCTGCGCCTCCGTGGCGGCCTCGGGGGCGCGGGGCGGCGCTACGGGGGCGGTCGACCTATTATGCTCGACGATCGCGTCGTTAATTTGCTTGATCTGATCGATTATCGGTTCGGGAGCTTCCGCCCTCGTTCGACTAGGTTCGCGTTTATCGGGGGCGCTTTCAGCCTCTTCCGGCTCTTCGTCCGGCATCTCTTCGTCGTCGCTGGTCGTCTGAACGTCGTCCAGGTCCTGGAACAACGGGAAGGCAGTATTAGGAAGCGGGTTAGTCGATTAGCGGGGCGGCCGTTGTTAATAGTATTAATTACGGTCGACGAGGACGCAAAAAGAACGGGCATGAGTCGCGCGGGCCATCTTTACCTTTTATCTTCATATATCACATACCATTTTTACGTATTCGAAATCATAATTTATACTTTTTAATGCAAAATTGGTCTGCAGGCCTTTTAAAAACGTCAAAGCTGGAATTGGGAGGACTGGCATTCCAAGGTCAAGCGCCGTTAGTGGTGTTACTAGTGTTGGGGCCGGTCAATTGACCACTTTTTACCTGACTAGTCATATTCGATTAAAATGTTTAATATAATAATATATATTTTATATGACAAACTCTTTTCTACAATTCAACTAATCAACATAGAACATTTTAGGTACGTTCGAAAATATTTTGATACTGATTTGTTTATAAACTGTTAGTCACTTTGAAACGTCATATAATATGAATTATGTTCAGAACAAATTATTACTTGCTACCCAATATTTCGTATGTTATATAATATTCAAAATGAAGCGAATAAATAAATTTTTTAAAAATATTCATCCATTACAAAAAATAAAAAAATAAACATATTATTAATTAAATTGTTAATAATTAGTCATTTAGGAAAGAAGCGTAAAAATGAAGGTAGTCCTGATTTAATATATAGATATTATTAATACAAAAAATTATAACGATATTAATAGATAAGAAAGTATGTTATACAAGTTTGTATATTAATTAATCTGGAAATTATTCATCTTAGATGATTAATGGATGTGTGGGCTATAATTTTTAGTAAATTAATTAAGTTAGTGACTGAATCCTACAAATTAATGAAGACAAACGGATAATTATCGACATACATAAGGTGACAAAGATATTATTGGAAATTGGGAGCGTTTTAAGACGCAATTTTTTTTCCTACATCATGAGAATAAGAGAATTAGGTCAATTTAATATATAATAAAAAATCTCAATTGTAGCAAAAAAAAGAAAAAGTTCATTTTTCTCAAACAACCGTTCAAAATTTCGTATGCTACGACCAAAAAATATTAAAAATCAAGCGAATAAACAACATTTTTCAAAATATTCATTTTTAAAAAATGTAATTACTTACGTGTTATAAAATTATTTTATTAGACTGTCGTGTCTCGTTTGAATAATAGGAACAATAGCAAGGGCCAAAATTTACAACTAAAACTCTTATTATGCTTTTACGGGGTCCTCCGTCCATCGCGTTTACTTCAAATAATATAAATCTGTGGGGTTTCGGTTCGTTATTCGAAAGGAGGAACCAAACTATCCGATTCCACAAACGCAAAATTAGAGAATTTTTTCTATGGAGTACGTTTTTTTCGTTTCGATTCGATTTCGGGCATCGAATGAGGACGCCTTTCGCATCGGGCAAACGGGAGATCAGGCCATGCGGCGTTTTCAACAAAACTACGTACCTCGAGAGGACAGAAACGGAGCGGACAATTCGTTCGGACGGGCTTCCGCTTCGCGCGAAACGTGGGAACCGCGCCTTTTTTTGCGCATCGCGTATTACGATAATGGCGCAGATTATACAGGATCACCGATAATCCGATACGTTCGTTCGAATCTGTAAAACGGGTGACGTACAAAACTAAACATATTTCGAGATAGTTTAATTTTTCTCTTTCTTTCTCCAAAAAAACACCTCTAAAGGTAATTTTCGAAAATTGAAAAAAATGTGGGAAACCTTATGCCATGGAAACATGTCAAATAAAAAACATTCAAATTTTTGTTTTTATTAAGGCAACTGCTTATCGTCTATTTTTCCAAAAATCCAACGAATTGTATAAAAAAACTTTTTTGTTAATAAATAAAATGTGGTTGTATATTTATATTATTTTCATTTTCCGGTCATAAAACATTGTGTTTGATTTTTTTTTCTTGATTTCTTAGATTATAACATGCCACATTTACGATCGTTTCCCCGTTTCCGACAAACTTTATTTAAACAGAAAAGGTATGTTTTTATTCCGTTTCTGGATTACTTTTAAAAATCAAAGTATTTTTAATACAACATATCCTATACCCAAATTCAATCGATGTTACCATTACCATTAAGTTTATCGTAATTTTAATCAAATTATTATACAATTTTTGCAAAGTAGAAATACATTTGTTTTACTCAATAAAAAGCGAAACAAAGGCACGATGTAAAGAAATATTTATGTTTAGGTTTGATGATTTTTTAATATAAGAACTTCATTTAAAGTTTCTGCATATTTTTTTATATAAATCCAACAATGTAAGGGTCATATTAATAAGAAGTATTAATAAGACGATTAATCCTTTTGTAGCTCGACGATCGATTAATTAATGTTAATTAATTAATTTAATGTAAACGAAAAAAAAAAAAAAAACAATAAATTTACGATAAGAAATATTTTAAATTCTTGATAATTTTTTGATGACCTATTTTGTGCATTTTTTTATATAAATCCGAGAATATAAGAGTCATATTAATACCCCGTTTCTGTTTAATCCTTTTGTTGACCGTCGATCTGGCACAACTTACTTTCTCGTTAAACTTATTGAGTGCATGAATTAATTTTTTAAGCGTTCTCTATTCCGAAGGGGTTTTGTTTCCAAGTTACCACGACAAGAACGCCGGCGGTGAAAATTTTGAAATGACAGCGAGAGCGAGAGCTAGAGAGAGAGACAGAGAGAGAGAGAGAGAGAGAGAGAGAGAGAGAGAGAGAGAGAGAGAGAGAGAGAGAGAGAGAGAGAGAGAGAGAGAGAGACGTCGCCGAGTGACAATGTCGGTATCTATTTATAGAGAGGCATTCTTTCGAACGCATCGCGAATGCGAATTCGCCGTATATCAGGCCTCGCCGCGCTGCGACCGGCAAAAAAATAAGAACGGGGACCAGAAGGCAGCGGCAGCGGGAGCATTGTGAAATTTCCATGATGCTAGTGTCGCTTTTTCAAGCACGTCTTCTGCTGCCCCATTTGGTGCGGCCGGAGCCCGACCCGGCCCCATAAAGCTATAATAGGCGACGCGAAGCCACGCTGTCTACGCTCTTCTATTAGATTCGTCGAGAAGCGGTCTTGGTCAAATTTGGTATCGCGCGGAACAAGCGTAAATCTAAATCCCGTCGTCGCTCTCCGACTACTAATTATTCGAATTAATTGTTATTGGCCGACGACCGGACGTTTTGTTTCTCCCGGGAGACGCGGCCTTTCGATGCGACGAACGCGAGGACGAACGACGGTATCCTTGCCCGAGATCCTTTTTCGTATTTAGAGTGAGATGCCGGGACACCGAAAGGTCGTCTCATCTCCGTGCCAGTTCTAGTAGGGTCTGCAATTTTCTCTTCGAGTGACTGTCCAGCCCGAATAATCTGTCGTCTCGGTTGCAGTTTTTGCTTTTGTTCTTCTCGGTTTTAAGGATTTCAGCTCTCTTGTTGCATTGTCAAAGTTTTTCTTGTTTTTAAACAATTGAACCTAGTGGATGGATTTTTCCACACACACCATTCGATATTTTTCTCTCCTCGTGACATGTCCCGTATGCAACACCTCTCTCGATTGATGCTATAACTTTTGTCTCTTTGTTCCATTCTACGGTTCCTTCGCGTATCAAATGCCTGTGGTCTCTATACGTCACCTACATTAGATCTCGACACCAGAAAAGCTTCTTGGTTCTTGTTTCCTATTCGTATTCGTATTCCTCTGAACTTACTATACCAAAGGGCTTGTTACGATCTATAAAGCGGAGGTGTATGTCTTGATAGACGTTACGACGGGACATTAAGATCAAACAGTCCTAAAGAACTAACCAAAAGCGACTATTGCCGATAGCTACTTCTATCATGGATCAGCAGGTTTTTCATTTTACGGTGGCCAATTCTTGTCGCTTTTTTAGAAGGGTTACAGAGGTTGATAGCAATCAATCATTAACATGGTGGCTTGACGATGGCACGCCATACCTTGTTTTGGAATCTATGCGGGAGGAGTCACTAGCGGTGCCCCACAGTTTAATTCCCCAAGTCTAAATGGGCTTGATAATGTTTTTGTATCCTTATTATCCAAGGATAATTTGGAGTTTCTTCGAATCACCTAATAGTGATAGCTCCATTAGCTGCCTGTTGTCGGTAGGTCTGCCGCGTGCAAACCATATGTTGGTCCACTTTTGGGACGCCCAATATGAGATTTCTAACCTCAAAACATAAACAAAATTAGTCATGGAGCAATATACGACTGAACAACGTGTAAAAATCGTGCAAGCCATGTTATGAAAATGGTCGATCAAGAAAAAATGCATTTCGGGCTCTACGTGCGGCAAAATCGACCTTCTGAGAGGACAATTTGGAATGTGGTTCAAAAATTTGAGCAAACTGGATCTGTAACTAACCTCAAAGTCCCTCAACGTGCTCGTGCAGGTCGGTCAGATCAAAATATTGCCATCGATCGCAGCAAGTGGGCCTTACGTATTCAACCACAAAGCGAATTTTAACAAAAAACTTGCATCTACACCCATATAAAGTTCAAATAACTCAGGAGTTGAAACCTCGAGATCATCAACAGCGCCGCGTGTTTGCATAATTGATACGAGAACAAGGGGTTCAAAGAAAATCATCTTTAGCGATGAGGCACATTTTCATGTTGGTGACTTTGTAAACGAACACATTGCTCCTATTTGGGGATTAGAAAACCCAAGAGAGATTGTTCAAAAAGCAATGCATCCTCAAAAAGTGACTGTCTGATGCGCTTTTGGTGCGGAGCCACTTGTCACACGTCCAAAGAAACGATGCAATTGCTGCGGGGCAAGTTTCCTGGTCGGATTATCTCACGTAACGGCGATATCAATTGGCCGCCGCGATCATGTGATCTTACTCCCCTAGATTTTTTTTTTGGGGGTATCAAAAAAGCAGAGTGTATAGAAATAAACCAAACACTATTCCAGAGCTGAAACAGGAGATTAGATGCGAAATAGCCGGCATAG